ATTCAAATTCCCTTCTTGTATGTTAACATTCACTTTAATGTATTGATATATGATGTGTTTGTTTGCAAATTTGATGGGGAAGAGCATGTGGAGGTAATTGAAGGCCAAATTCAAGGTGGATGGGGAGGAGGGGGGCAGCTGATCAAGCTCAGGGGCATTGAGGAAGAGCACAAGACCCTCAAGGATTGTGAGAAAGTTTTTGCATATGACCCTCTAGCCCCAATATTTCAATCGTAACTCTGCTAACATCATTAAGGTCATCACATTCGATGTATTATCTGTTTTGGCGCTTGTTGGATCGTTGCAGTTTTATTCTTAAAAAGACATTTCAGTTGATTAAAGAGAGAAAATATTTATAAACTACCTTTAGTCTCAATTCTTAAGCAATATAAGATTTTTAAGCAATACTGAAATATATATATATATATAACTAGAAATTGTTTTAAATGTGAGAGATGAAAAATAATTTTTTTTACTATTGAGAAATTAAAAATATATTTAAATTATAGTTTATTTTAATTTTAAAAAATTTATTTACTTATTTATTTGAAAATGGAGCTTTTTGCTTGGAAAGCTTCTTTTTTGTGTGTAAAACGAGTGAGTTGTTGGTAGAAAATGGTTACACAATAAGTGTTAGTCTTGATCCTTGTTAAATAGATGAAAGGGACGTACGTAATCTCCATTTGACACGATCGACCTGACCATAGTTGTCAAAAAGCAGAAGAATCCTTCTGTTTTGATTTTTCATTGATTGGACGGTACTGCTTAAATTTCTTTGTCCAAAGTTTAGTGAAAGAATATATGGTGAGATTTTTGTGTAGAATTATTGCTTTCCATTCAACATAATTTAATAATTTATATAGACCAAGTGAACATGCCAACTGAATAGAAAAAGCAGAGTGTCAATTATTGTGAGATATAGATAAATTTTGTCCATATCTTGGCCTTACTTAAACCACTCCTTTTTGTTATAAAATCAAGCTTATTGAACTGGTATTCTCTGTCATTGGCCTAGTTTAGCTTTTTTAGTTTATGTTAACTGAAATATTTTCAGGCTAAAGAGTGGGAAATCTGACAGTGAAGTATATTCAAGCTAAAGGAATTCGATTGTTTACTGAAAATGTCATCAAACTAGATATCCAATTATATATTATAATAAATAATAAATAAATTTACTCAACTTAATATACAATTCATCTTTTTATGAAAATAATGAAGTACGGGTATTTTAGACTATTAAATACTGAATTAACTATTCTTAAAAAATTTAGTTTTTTTTTTTAATTTTAATTTTGATCCCATATTTAGTTTATACATAATTTTGGTCCTTTTAATTTTTATATAATTAAAAAAATATATAACTATCTCCAAAATTGTGCGACTATTCTAAAAGTAAAATGACTTTCTATTATGATTTTACGTTCAAATATTTTGATTTTATGTTGAAAGTAAGAATTGAATTTTTGTCTATAATTAAAGAATATAAATATTGAATCGGTTCTATTAATAATTAAGTGATCTCTCTAATTTTAATCTTTTACATTTTGTTCTTATAGTTATTATTGTTAAAATTAAGTTTATAATCTCATATTTCATCCGATAATTAACAATTGTCTCGTGATATCAATTTATATAGATCAATAAAAAAAATAATACATGTATAAAATGTCCAAATAATTTTTATTTTGAGAAAGTTAACTTCAAATACTTCTTTAACTTCTCTCTTTATCACATTATCTTTCATAATTATATTTTTTTTTCCACTTATGCCATGTTTAGTCGAGCTTAAGTGCTAGGCAAATAAAAAAATGAAAAAAATAAAGTAATTAGTTAAAACTTGCCTCGTTTATTGCTAATAATGAAATATCGAGGAAAAGAAATGAAAAGGTCGTGAATCTCAAATGAAAGAAAAATTTTATGGATTAAGTAAGGGAAATTAAAGTGGAGAAAGTATAAATTGATATATTTTTTTATCTAACTAAATTACAATATCATTAGGATTCGAAATTAAGATTATATGTATTTTACTTTAATTCTCACCTTAAATAAAAAGTATCATGTAATTTTTTTTGTTCTCTTAAATCAATCACTCTATCAATAAGATGTAACATTATTGATAGATAATATTTGTTTCTTAAGTATATAGTTAGGAGTTCTATCCTTTATCTATGTGTGGAAAAATATTTGTTAAGAAATGTCGATTTCTTAAATAAATCTCAATATTTTAAAGAAAGTAATCCCTAGCTTTTGACCAAAGAATATCTTTATTTCATACTTATTTCACTCTCAATTCAAGTGGGAGGTATTGGATTGAGATTTTGAAAGAGTATTTTAGCATGAAAAAAACTTATGAATTTTAATGGATTTTAAAAGACTTTGAATGAATGTCATGACTTTTAAGATTTTTTTTAAAAGACTTTTAGAACATAGATTTTAATCAAAACTTTATAGTTCAAATTTTAATGGATTTTAACGTATTTTGATGAATTTATATTGTAAGATTTTATAGATTTCACATGAAAACATGGATTTGTAAGATAAATTTAATGTTAAAAGAATTAATAAAAAAAATATAATAAATAATAAATAAAAGTAAAACTAACACAACTTTTTTCCCATCTTTTGATAAATAATTACCTTTATCTTTTGACAAATAATTAATTATAATGTATTCCTAACTAACATTTTTCCACATGTATAAAGCTATACTAGCCTTGCATGCATTGACTTTCATGCTCTTAAGTTTGAATAATATGTTCAAAATTATGATTTTCATTAATTGGTAGTACTAAAAATGAAAATTCATCCATTGATTCAATTGGAAATTCATTAGAACGACAGTCTTTTGCAAAGAAAGTTATGTAGTGCTACACATATTAATACAAGTTCAGCTTATGTCTTAAATAGAAATGAAAGTGTGAACTTAAAAATTGTGATTTAAAAATATCAAATATCCGTTTGATTAGATTTCTTAAGGATGGGTGACATAAAATTGAAACTTCATTTTCATTTTGAAAGTCATTACCATGATTTGTAAAATCTTGTAGATGATATTGCACACCTCAAAATGGAGCGAAAAATTGGTGCCTATTAGAAAATCCACAATCCACTAGAAAATATTTACCTAATTACATATACAATACATATAAAATTAGTATGGAAAGTTAAAAGAAAATATATTATTATTTAAAAAATATTTACCTTAGGGCACTTTAAGTCCATTTCTCCTTGTCAAAGCATCACTTAATAACTTGGAATCATAAGCTAAACCTTCCACCCACTAAGAACATACATGAATTCCAAATCAAAGTTACAAGTTGATAATACATTTTTTGATATCTTTTCATGATGATTACGATAATTGCTTACATCTTGTCCCTTTACCATTATCAAAATATGAGTATCATCAATAGCTCCAATGCAATCCAACTTTCTTTTATATATTATTAAATTTCAACCATTATAGGCCCACCAAAATATAAAAAAAATACCTCAACCAAAATATAATCAAAATGACACTTAGAAAAGTATAGTTCAACAAAGCATTAATCATCCCAACTTAAAATTTTATTCAAGATGAACATTCTACTAATGACATCTTAAAGAAAATGTCATTCTTTGCTTTAGTATAAACCAAATTAACAAGCATAAAATGAGTTTTGTCATCTAAATTTAGGATCTCTTTTATAGTATTCCAAATATTATTATCTTTCAATTTATCTTTGTCTTTTTTCTCTTTTCTCCCTATCTTTTTCTCTTATCTCCAATATGTTAAATATTTTTTCAAAAATTGATAGCAATAATCCTAATCCCAATAGAAATAGTATCTAGAACTTTCGCATGATTGTTGGTACCATTTGAATTAGTACTCCCTCCATACTTAGATCTATTTCTTTTTAGACGGTTTGATTTTTCAAAGAAAATCTCTGAACTTAAAAGGGAATTAGATAATGGGCTACATAACTAAGGTGGTGAAGGTTGGTAGGATGATTTGTAATTGTCTAGTTGATAAATTATACATCAATATTGATAAATAAAAATGTAACAAAAAATATTGATAGATAAAAAATGATAGGAGAAAAAATAGAGAAAGAAAGAAAAATAAATAAATGAAAGAGATGAACAAAAGGAGAAAAAGAATATGAGATAGAAAAGATATGAGAAGCGAGAGAGAGGATAAAGGAGAGAGAGAGGATAAACAAAGAGAAAAGAGAAGATGAGAGAGAAAGAGTGAGAGAGGGAAAAAGAGAAGAAAAAAGGTGAAGAAGCAAAAAGTGAAGAGAAATAAAATAGAAAAAAAAAAAAGTTGTGCAAAATCTTTTAGTAAATTATTAGATGAGTGAATCATATGTATATTTTACTAAAAAATCTGTCCTTCATATTAATCTATTAAAATTTTAATATTTTTGAATATCAATAGACTTATTTTATGTAAAAAAAATTAATTGAATACTATCAAATTTTAATATACTCATAAAAAAATTCTGACTATCTTAATTGAATATCATTAAATTTTGATATATTCTTAAAAGAATTTAATTATCTTAATTAAATATTATGTAACTTTTTATATTAAAAAGTCTTAATTAAATATTACAATATTTTTTATAACAATTTTTTTGAAATCTTAATCTAATATATCTTTCAAATTTCACTTTATTTCATATTTATTTTTATTTATGCTTTTTTTTCAATCTTCATTCATTTTATTTTATTTTTTCACTAGACACGCCCATAGTTTTGTTGTTCACCCTAAAAACAATTCCACTAATAATTCAACTTTTCATTTTTAATAAACCAAAAAAATTATTTTAGTTTTTAATATAAAAAATACGATGATGACGTCATCGAAAAAGCTACTTTGTCTCCTCACGAGTCCAGAGGTTTGCACTACCACCATGTACAAGTGCTTTTTCCCAAAGATTAAAGAACTGGCTTGTTATTTTTCCTTTATCTTTATCTTAAAAAAAAAGTAGGCAACACATTTTTTCAGTTTTATAATTCTTCATATTGCTATAATATCCCCCATTGCAAATTTGCCATTCCTCTCTTGGTCGTAAAACACCCTTTATCCATCCATCCGCGCTCAAATTCAGCATTCCAAAATCATCCATAAATACCTCACGCTCACGCTCACGCTCACACTCACACACACCGTATCCAACACCACACTTGAATCAACCAGAAACAGAGCACTGAGCAGTGAGCACCTAAGTCCACAAGATGAAGCCCCCCAATTCCATCTCCCTCCTCCTCTTCTTCCTCTTCCTCCTCACACTCTCCATCACCAAAGCCCAAGCCCAAGCCCACCAGCCCAAAAAGACCTACATAATCCACATGGACAAGTCCAGCATGCCCGCGACCTTCACCGACCACCTCACCTGGTTCGACTCCTCCCTCAAATCCGCTTCCCCCTCCGCCGAAATCCTCTACACTTACAAACACGTGGCCCACGGCTTCTCCACCAGGCTCACCCCCCAAGAAGCCCACGCACTCTCCAACCACCCCGGAATCCTCTCCGTCACACCCGAACTCAAATACACTCTCCACACCACCCGAACCCCGCAATTCCTCGGTCTCGACAAATCCACCACACTCCTCCCCGCCTCCGACCAGCAGAGCCATGTAATCATCGGAATCCTCGACACCGGCGTCTGGCCGGAGCTCAAAAGCCTCAACGACGCCGCCTTCGGCCCCGTCCCCGCCACCTGGAAAGGCGAGTGCGAAACCGGCAACAACATGAACGCCTCCAGCTGCAATAAGAAGCTGATCGGAGCGAGATTCTTCTCCAAAGGCTACGAAGCCGCACTCGGACCTGTCGACTCAACCACCGAGTCAAACTCCGCCAGAGACGACGACGGCCACGGGACTCACACGCTGACCACCGCGGCAGGGTCGGCTGTGGCCAAAGCTAGCCTCTTCGGCTTGGCGTCAGGAACAGCCAGAGGCATGGCCCCGCAAGCGCGCGTGGCGGTTTACAAAGTGTGCTGGCTCGGCGGATGCTTCACCTCCGACATCGCCGCCGGGATCGACAAGGCCATCGAGGACGGCGTTAATGTTCTATCAATGTCGATCGGAGGAAGCTTGCTGGAATATTACAGAGACATAATCGCCATTGGTTCGTTCACCGCCATGTCACACGGGATTCTAGTGTCCACGTCAGCAGGCAACGGTGGGCCCAGTCAAGCCTCCTTGTCCAACGTGGCGCCCTGGATAACCACTGTGGGAGCCGGAACTATCGACCGTGATTTCCCCGCCCACATAACTCTCGGAACGGGCAAAACCTTCATCGGAGCTTCTCTTTACAGCGGCAAACCCTTGTCGGATTCGCCGCTTCCTCTTGTCTACGCCGGTAACGCCAGTAACTCCTCCGTCGGCTATCTTTGCTTGCAAGACTCTCTGATTACTGAGAAGGTTTCAGGGAAGATTGTTGTATGCGAGCGAGGTGGGAATCCGAGGGTGGAGAAGGGTTTGGTGGTTAAAAATGCGGGAGGTGCTGGAATGATTTTGGTTAACGGTGAAGCCTACGGAGAAGAGTTGGTTGCTGACCCTCATCTTCTCCCTGCTGCATCTTTAGGACAAAAATCGAGTGAAATTTTGAAGAAGTATGTTTTCTCATCAACTAATCCAACGGCCAAGATTCAATTCCTAGGGACGCATTTGGAGGTTCAGCCTTCGCCTGTTGTGGCGGCTTTTAGCTCCAGAGGACCCAATGCTCTTACTCCAAAGATTCTCAAACCGGATTTAATAGCTCCAGGGGTGAACATCTTAGCCGGTTGGACCGGTGCGGTTGGGCCAACCGGTTTAACCGTTGACCAACGACACGTCAGCTTCAACATAATTTCCGGCACTTCCATGTCGTGCCCGCACGTGAGTGTCTTGGCCGCGATTCTCAAGGGCGCGCACCCTCAGTGGAGCCCCGCCGCAATTAGGTCAGCGCTGATGACCACGGCGTACGTGAGTTACAAAAACGGCGAAACGATTCAGGATATCGCCAATGGACAAGCCGCGACGCCGTTTGATTACGGCGCGGGACACGTGGACCCCGTGGCTGCGCTTGATCCCGGTCTCGTCTACGATGCGAACGTGGATGAGTATCTGGGGTTCTTCTGCGCGCTGAACTACACGTCGCTTGAGATAAAGCTTGCCGCGAGGAGGGACTTCACGTGCGACCCGAAGAGGGAGTACCGAGTGGAGGATTTCAACTACCCGTCGTTTGCGGTTCCTTTCGAGACGGCTTCGGGGATTGGGGGCGGTTCGGATGCGGCGAAGACAGTGAAGTACTCTAGGGTGCTCACTAACGTGGGGTCCGCGGGGACTTATAAGGCTTCGGTGTTGTCCGGTTCTTCGAAGGTGAAGATTGTGGTGGAACCGCAGGAACTGAGTTTCGCGGAACTGTACGAGAAGAAGGGCTATACGGTGTCGTTTACCTCCACTTCGATGCCGTCTGGAACGACCAGCTTTGCACGTTTGGAATGGACGGACGGAAAGCATAGAGTTGGTAGTCCAATTGCGTTCAGCTGGACTTGACAATTGGATTTGGCATGACGTGACTCCGATATATATCTTATTATTATTTAAATTTAAATGGTGTCCTCACTCGTGGTGGATCTGGATGATGGACTATGGCCCAAATGAAAGGGGTCACTTGATTGTTGCTCTTTATGCTATGGTTTTGGGCCCAACAAGGAGGCCCGGCCTGGCCTTACAGAGCTTCTTCTTGTTATGTATCACTATGTTATTTTTATTCGATAGGCTCAAGTTCAGGAATAATAATTGTACATAAAAAAAAGGTAATGGGGGCACCTGTATCATTCTATGCATGTATCATAATAGCTTTCAATTATTGGTATCTTTCCAGTTTTGAGGTTTTCGTGGCAACCGAGATTTTAAAATTGCTACTATGAATAACTTCTATATTTTATTAAGAGTTTTATTTTTGTAACTATTAGTACTTTTCAAATTCTCTACTAGTGTATTTTATTTATATGTAAAATATAAAATGATGGGTCACGCGCGCATCTGATTAGCACACACTACAACAGTACAGACATCCTATTTTGTTCGTGTTATGCAGAAATCATAATTTTAGACTTTTGGCCAATGATAAACTCACTATGGGTGTTGCCATTCATCATTCATGTTAATTAAACGACTTAGAACTACGTTGAAATATTAATTAAAATAATATATATTGTTTTTAAAATCATATGAACTACAAAGGATTGGAGTAGTATGTATACACAAATGATGGTGATCGTAATTTCAATTGATAAAAAAGTTAGATCGGGATAAAGTAATACTATATTTATATAATTCTTTTTAGATAAAAGTTATTATCATATAAAGATTTGAGTTGGAGAGCAAGTTTAACTTCTTTTGAAGATTAAAATTGTTAGTTGTCCAAATAAATTAGGACTAATTCATCGAACGTATGCTCTTATTAGCCCTCAATTAACATGGAGAAAAAATCCCATAACAAGTTAACTCCCAATCAGAAGACAATGGATGTTAGAAATAATTACTGATGTTTATATTATACATATAGTATAAATCAGCAGAACATCATCTTTACCCCTTAGCCGTTGCAAACAAATATTGATTATGGATTCTGTACCGTGGTGGTCTCTCATTGGCCGATCATATTGGCCGATCCAAGGCACGTCAGTAAAATACCGATTTAACATACTCTTTGCACCTTAGTGCTCGAGCATGGAGGGCTATGTACCGTGATGGTCTCCCATTGGCCGACCATATTGGCCGATCAGAGGCAGGTCGGTAAAATGCCGATCACACAAGAGGGACCCAAATATGGGGAGATTAACTGGCTCACTCGGACAATCAATAAGATCCCACGATCCGTGGGAACGGTAATAAATACCGGGAGTTACGAGTCCATAATGGGGCGTGATTTATGGGATCATAAGTGCGATTCATGTCTATAACGTCACACCGTTATATATAGCAATGATTAGGTCTAAGGCGGCAGGTTACTCTGATCGAATGTTCTAGGTCAAGACTGCTGTCAAGTTCTTTTAGCTCGGTATCGCTAAGGGTTCTTCGGCGGCGGTCTCCAATACCGGAACATTTTGGCGCCCACCGTGGGGCAGGTAAAACTGCATCCCACACCTTTGTTGTTGGACGTGAGCAGAAAGTCTCAATACGAGGAGTGAGAGAAGTCGTAGGAAGTAGGAACACACTACACGCAACAACATATCCAGATTCACTCATTCATTCATCATCGCCAACTATCTCCATAATCCACGCTTACTGGTCAATACCATGTGTCAATATGATACACCTTTTCTTCTTCTGACTATTCACTGACGCTGCACCACCACTTTCATCTTTGGTTTGGTAAGATCAAAAAAGAAAAATCCCACCTTTTGCTTGTGTTCTTGAGAAAGTCACTGTTTTGTTAATACCCATGTGCTATATTCATGTTATTCCCGACATCACATGTTCAAAAATTGATTTGGAAGCCCTGTTAGATCTCGGGGTGATTCACGTTGTGTCACGAGATTTTCTGAGGTTTTGATGACCATGTGGTAAATTCCACCCCTTTGTGTTCGGTGTTGACTTTATTTGCATCCAAAATTGGATCTTACAACGGGGTGGTTGGTTGCCATAGAAGATTTGATTTGATTTGATTTTATGTTATTTTGTTTTGTTGGTTTTAATTTGTAAGGAAGATGCAATCAAGGGGTGTGCCCCTTGAAGAGAGAACGAGAGGTGGCGGGCGGAGAGATTTCCAAACCCAAACACTGGCCATCCGATAAGGCCGCAACAAAGAAACTGATTCACAAAGAAAAAAAAAAAGCCCAGTGGTTTCACGAGAAAGCTGCGCAACGGAACCCATCTTCACGTGACCTCACCTCACCTCACCTCACCTCACTCTCTTTCTTTGATTCAAAATCACTCACTCTTACTGTTTTCCTTCCAATCGGATCCACCATGAGGGACAAGGACAAAGAAAAAGAGACAGAGAAGAAGTACCCTATCGGCGCCGAGCATTACCTTCTCTACGAGGAGATTGGCCAAGGCGTAAGCGCTTCCGTGCACCGAGCGCTATGCATTCCCTTCAACAAGGTCGTCGCCATCAAAATCCTTGACTTCGAACGTGACAATCGCGATCTCAACAACGTTTCTCGTGAGGCCCAGACCATGATCCTCGTCGATCACCCTAACGTCCTCAAATCGCACTTCTCCTTCGTCGCCGAGCACAATCTTTGGGTGGTTATGCCATTCATGGCCGGCGGTTCATGCCTCCACATATTGAAAGTCGCTTTGTGAAATGAAAAAAAAGAGTAATGAGACCAGATCGAAGTTGGATGTTAAGATGAAAAGACCACTCTGGCCTTGTAAGTGAAGAATTTAAAAATGGAGTTGATGATTTCATTCGGGTTGCCACAAGAAACCTGGCAATTATTGATGAAGTGGGACACATTCCTTGTCCATGTGCAAAATGTAGAAATCGTTACAGGGATGAAACATTTTGGGTGGAAAAACATTTGTGTGCTTAAAAATTTGACAAAAAAATAGTACAAAATTGTGAAGCACTAGTTGAACATTGCATGTGAACACCTCTTGTTTTGTGTGAAAATTTCTGCAGAAGATTTTTATGCTTAAATCCGAGATTAATACTTGATTAAAAGGCATTAAACTCCTGTGTTAACAAATAAAAAAAAAACAAAAATCACAAAAGAAAAAAAAAGAAAAGAACCCAAGAAAAAGCCAAGGAGTGAAAATTTTAGCAAAATAGTGCTCTCGGTTTGGTAACATTTTGTGTGCCTTATCTTCAATTTTCTGTCCAGCCACTTATACAATCTTTTGAGTCTTATTTTTGTTTCTAATCTTAGCTTTTATTTTATAATCCATTCTAGTGCCTTTGATAGGATATCTTTTGTGTGCTAGCTTTCTAAAATTGCCTTAATTGTTGCTTGTCATTTTTGTGGAATTCTTTCTAGTCTTGTCTCATTTTCTTCCACCAATTGGTGTAGCTGTTCCTAATTGTTCCTTTTCAGTTTTTGAACTAATATTCCAGCATCTTAAGGTGTGTTGAGTGCCTCTTGGAAGGTGTTGAAGGCCAAGCTCAAGGTTAGCCAATATTGAAGGACTTTGGTGGTGACCTAGGAGCTTGTTTCTCATTGGATT